GAAGTTGACGACGTGCAGCAGTAGGTGCCATGCCCTCTTGCATGGCTGGTTCGGTGGACGACGTGCTGTGTGTTGGGTGCACGTCGACGAGCTATTCTCCGAGGAGTACTGCCGTGTGGGCTGGGGGCCCAAGCGTGAACGCAGTAGGGGAGTGTCAACGGGAGTTGTGTGTTGGCCCCGTCCTCGCTTGGGCGGAGCCGACTTCGTGGTCGGGTGTGAGGGGAGCAGCCAACCTGCAGAAGTGGGCGAGTTGGTTGACGAGGAGGTCGACCTGCACGGGAGCCACTGCACGGGCGCCGAATTCGGGGTGGCGCCGACTTCAGGGAGGTCGACTTGGGAAGTCGACCTGTGGAGGACGTCAACTTGGTGACGTCAACTTGGGGAAGCCGACTTTGGTGGTCGGCTGACGGACTGGTGGTCGACCTGGTGGTTGGTCGACCTGGTGGTTGGTCGACCAGGCCTGCTGGTCGACCTGCTGGTGCTCGACCTGACCTGGTGGTCGACGAAGGAGGGGCCGACGTCGACCTCGACTCAGGACGCCGAGCAGTTGGGCGTCGAGTAGCTGGGCGTCAACTTCGTGACGCCGACTTCGGGTAGCCGACTTGGGTAGTCGGCCGACAACTGCGCTGGTCGACATGAAGCTGGTTGACCTGGACTGCTGGTCGACATGGAGCTGGTCAACCAGAAGTGACGTCGACGTGGAGCTGGTCGACTAGGGGCGTGGTCTGTCAGAATCCCAACCACTAGACCATTGGGATAAAAGGGCTTGTTTCAGTAGCGGGTCAGTGCACCCATAACCCCCCAGGCAAACGCGCCTGTAACCCCCCCTAGGATCGATCGGGGATCTCACAGTGTAGCTCTACTGACACCCCCCCACACTGGGAGGCCCAGGACTGAGCACACTGGCAACGGCCAACATGTGCATACACCAGGATTCGAACCCGAAACCGCTCTGATACCATGTCAGAATCCCAACCACTAGACCATTGGGATAAAAGGGCTTGTTTCAGTAGCGGGTCAGTGCGCCCATAACCCCCCAGGCAAACGCGCCTGTAACCCCCCCTAGGATCGATCGGGGATCTCACAGTGTAGCTCTACTGACATGGTCGACCTGGTGAGGTCGACTTGGAGGTGGCCGTCGACTTGGGAGGTCGACGGGCACAAACAGGAGTAGCTGGTCGACGTGGTTGCCCGGTCGACCAGGTTACCTGGGTGACAAGGCTCTGCGGAGGAGTGCGACGGTCGCCCAGGCAAAGTTGGCGAGCCCGACCTCGGTGGTGGTATCCCGAGGTCGACGTGGCCCATCAGAAGCAGTCATCAGTGCTAGATTGACTTGGTGTGTGCGTTGTGCAGGTGACGAGGCTCTGCCCGCCAATCATCTGCGAGCACCTGCGAAGCGAGTGCGCTGCTGTTCTGCGTGAGTAGCGCTGGCATGCCGTCAACCTGCGACGTTGGCACGCCGTCGACGTTGCTCGACCAAGTCGTGCTGGAACGCGGTCGACCGTGCTGCGCTGGTAGTCGACCGACCTGAAAGCTAGCTCTGATGTAGTCTTGCCATGCCAACTTCATTGTACCATTGTTGTCAACTTTCTCTAGTGAAACTCTTGCCAACTTGCCCCGTGAACTAGCAAGAAGTGTGTGCACTAGGAAAACAACTAAGGACCAACGAACGCAGAGATCACACGAGCACCCGTGCCTAGCCCGTAGTCTAGCTCCCATTGTAGTAGTTATCTCCGCAAAACCGCAGCGCGCCTCGGGGCGCACGGCGGGCAGAAAACCGCTGCGCGCTAACCGCCATGCGCCCCGAGCGCGTGGCGGGAAGAAAAAACGTCGCACGCCACGGGGCGCGCGACAGACAGGACAGCAGCGGAAGCAGGTGGGCCCACGGGCCAAGAGCGTACTCGCTCTGATAGCATGTTAGAATCCTAGCTAGAGCTTAGTAGCCATGGCTAGGGTTTAGGTTTTTCGAAGGAAAAATGAGAACAGAGAAGAGGGGTTTCACTAGCAAGCAGTTGAGTACATATAGCAAACCCTAACAGGGTTGTACTCACTATAGACTACCCCACTGCAGACTAGAGAAATATAACATTCTGACAAGTTATTGTTGGTGAATCATTTTTCAGCGATCATTTTCCTGTGTATGTATTGATCAAATAAAAAACAAATGTCTATTATTCTTTTCCATGCGGGTAGCCTTCCATATAATGAGAAGACGAAGGTGAGAGCGCTTTGAGCTGTGTTTTTTGTTGCATCACTATCTTTTTAGATTGATATGCTATGTTTTCATTGTCAGAACTTATAGCTTACTTGTTTCTGTAGGCTATAGTGGGGTATCCCATAGGGGGTACAACCCAATTAGGGTTTCCTATTTGTACTCACTTCGTTCATAGTCATTCCACTTCTCGTTCGTACTTTCTCATGGAATCAGAGCAGGTCCCTTCCTAGGGCCTGTTCCTAGGGCCCACCGAAGCGCGCCCCGAGGCGCGCATTTTTTTAGCGACCCTCCGAGTCGCCCCTCCCGTCGTGCTCCCGCTTAGGCCCCTCGTCGGCCCCGCTTAGGCCCCTCGTCGGCCCCGCTTAGGCCCCTCGTCGGCCCCGCTTAGGCCCCTCGTCGGCCCCTGCTTAGGCCCCTCGTCGGCCCCGCGTACCCCTCGTCGGCCCCGCGTAGGCCCCACGTACCCCTCGTCGGCCCCGCGTACCCCTCGTCGGCCCCGCGTACCCCTCGTCGGCCCCGCGTAGGCCCCGCGTACCCCTCGTCGGCCCCACGTAGGCCCCGCGTAGGCCCCGCGTACCCCTCGTCGGCCCCGCGTAGGCCCCGCGTACCCCTCGTCGACCCCGCGTACCCCTCGTCGGCCCCGCGTAGGCCCCGCCCAGGCCCCGTCTCGGCCCCGTGTCGGCCCCGCGTAGGCTCCGTCGGCCCCGCTTAGGCCCCTCTTCGGCCCCGCGCCGGCCCCACCTACGCCCTGTCGGCCCCGCGCTGGCCCCGCTTAGGCCCGCCACCGGCCCCTGCTACAGCCCGCCGCGTCGGCCCCGCCTACAGCCCGCCGGCCCGCCTAGGCCCCACTTCGGCCCCTCGTCGGCCCCACTACAGCCCGCACCGGCCCCTGCTACAGCCCGCCACCGGCCCTGCTACAGCCGCCACCGGCCCCTACTACAGCCCGCCGCCGGCCCTGCTACAGCCCGCCACCGGCCCTGCTACAGCCGCCACCGGCCCCTGCAACAGCCCACCACCGGCCCTGCTACAGCCGCCACCGGCCCCTGCTACAGCCCGCCGCCGGCCCTGCTACAGCCCGCCGCCGGCCCTGCTACAGCCCGCCACCGGCCCTGCTACAGCCCACCACCGGCCCTGCTGCAGCCCGCCGTGCTGCACGTGAGCAGCCCCAGCAGCCCGCGCCGCCCGTGAGCCCCTACGCCACCCGAGCCGCGCGAGACGCCCGAGCCGCCCGAGTCGCCCGAGCCGCCCGAGCCGCCCGAGCCGCCCGAGCCGCCTGAGCCACGCGAGCCACCTGAGGAGCCGTGCTGCTGTCCCTGAGCTGTGTTCCTCTGCTGCTGACCTACCCGACTCTTCCAGCCCGGTGAGACTTTCAGCTGCTGCCATGGCCACCCCCAATGTTCTTACTTTTGACGCTGAGGGGAGGGCCATTGACTTTGCCATCTGGATTGAAGACCTGCAGCTGTACTTACTGTGTGATGCGATAGATGAGGTCTCTCTCTTTGACTTTGTCTCTGGAGCTGTCCCTGCCCCGCCTGCTGATGCTGACTCTGCCGTTCGCTCCAAGTGGGCGACCCGCGATGCTGCTGCACGTCTTGCTGTGCGTCGCCACCTCCCTTCCTCTGAGCGTGCCCACTTTAGTCAGTGCAAGACCGCTCAGGCCTTGTACGACGCTGTAGTTGCACGCTACTCCTCCCCTTCCTCCGCTGCCCTTAGCCGCCTCATGCTACCGTTTCTCTTCCCTGACCTCGCTTCCTTTCCCACTGTCGCTGACCTCGTTACCCACCTCCGCGCTAGTGACGCTCGCTACCGCGCTGCCCTTCCTGCTGAGTTCCGCGCCGCAAACCCTCCTCCCATGTATATCACTCTCTACTTTCTCGTCACCCGTCTTCCTGAGTCCCTTCGTGTCGTTAGGGACCAGTTTCTCTCTGTCTGTCCCACCACCCTCACTGTCGACCTCCTTGAGGAGTCCCTGCTAGCGGCTGAGAAGAGTATAGTCGCTGTAGGGGCCTCTAGGGGTGACCCTCGCACCCCCATCTTTGAGGGGTGTTCTCCTTCCCCCCTGCTGCCCTCTGTCGCCTCTGCTGCTACGGCCGACCTCGCTGGTTTTGAGTCGGTCGGTGCGGCGTCTGCCCCCAGCGGCAGACGCCGCTCTGGCAAGGGCAAGGGGGGCAAGGGAGCGGGTGGATCTAGAGGAGGCAGTGGCGGAGGAGGTGGGGGTGGCGGGGGGAGTGGGGGTGGCGGTGGAGGTGGTGGCGGGAGTGGAGGTACTAGTGGCGGCGGTGGAGGCGGAGGTGGCGGCGGAGGTGGTAGCGGAGGAGGCGGTGGGAGCGGTGGGAGCGACGGTCCTGGTGGGGGAGGTGGCGGTGGAGACGGGGGTGGCGGTGGAGGCGGGGGTGGTGGTGGAGGCGGGGGTCGGAGTGGCTCGTCCCAGAGGAGCAGCTCTGGGAGTGGTCAGCGCCAGCAGCAGCAGCAGCAGCAGCAGCAGCAGCAGCAGCCGCAGCAGCAGCAGCGCTCTCGCACCGTCCCCGGCCCTCAGCAGCTCCGTGAGTGGTACTTGCAGCGTCAGCGCGGTGGTGCTCTTGGTCCCTGCCCCTACGTTCTTCGCACCGGTGACCGTGCGGGGGAGAGGTGTGGAGGCGCCCACACAGCCCGTCGCTGCTTTGGCCGTCTGACCGACGCCTGGCGTCAGCAGTTTCCGGAGGCCGCTGAGATCCCCCGCTGGGGAGAGCTGTCTAGGGCTGGAGTAGCTATTTATGATCTTGACTTTGATGCTATTCTCTCTGCTATGTATGCTGTGACTGGTAGTGATGAGGATGACTGTTACCGGTGTTTCCCGCCCGACCCGGGCATTGGTACTGCCGCGTCAGGTACTAGTGAGGCTGCTGCTCTAGGTGCCAGTGCGTCTGTGCTCTCAGGTGCTGGTGAGTCTGCCCTCTCAGGTACTGTGTCGGCTTCGGCCTCTCACACCTTCACCCTTGACTCTGGAGCGTCTCGCTCCTTCTTTAGGGACCGCACCACTCTCACGCCGCTGAGTCGGCCGGTTGCAGTGTCCCTGGCTGACCCCTCTGGGGGGCCGGTCCTGGCTCGCTTCTCCACTGTCCTCCCGTGTCCGGCGGCCCCCTCTGGCACCCTGACTGGTCTCTACCTCCCCTCGTTCTCGACGAACTTGGTGAGTGGTGCTGACCTCCAGGATGCGGGTGTCCACCAGTTCACCCCTGCTCGTCAGCGGGTGACCCACTGCACGGAGGAGGATACAGGTCGCCACCTGGCTACGTTTACACGTCGGCCAGGGTCGAGCCTGTACACACTGACCACTGCTTCTCCTCCAGGTGCTGAGTCTGGTAGGGTCCCTTCGTCTGGTCAGGTGTTTGCTGCAGCGTCCAGGTCTGGTCCTGAGTCTGCCCCCTGCTCGTGTCGTCGTCTGTCTCACGAGACCCTCCTCTGGCACCACCGCCTTGGCCACCCCTCTCTGCTTCGGCTCAGAGGCATGGCCTCGCGAGTCCTTGTGTCTGGTCTTCCCCGGTCTCTCCCTCCCCTTCCTCCGGGCCCTGGCCCCACCTGTGTCCCCTGTGTCGAGGGGCGCCAGCGTGCTGCCCCTCACTCCTCCCAGTTTCCTCCGACAGAGGCCCCGTTGCAGACGCTTCACATGGACGTGTGGGGCCCAGCCCGCGTCCGTGGACAGGGTCAGGAGCGCTACTTCCTGCTGGTGGTTGACGACTACTCGCGTTACACCACAGTCTTCCCCTTGCGCAGCAAGGGTGAGGTCACTGAGGTGCTGATCGACTGGATCCGCGCAGCTCGTCTCCAGCTTCGGAGGAGCTTTGGCTCTGACTTCCCTGTTTTGCGTCTGCACTCGGACAGAGGTGGAGAGTTCTCCTCCGGCCTCCTGAGTGCCTACTGTCGTGTGCGAGGCATCCGTCAGACCTTCACGCTTCCGGACTCACCGCAGCAAAATGGGATTGCTGAGCGCCGCATTGGCATGGTCATGGACGTCGCTCGTACGTCCATGATGCATGCGGCTGCTCCCCATTTTCTGTGGCCGTTTGCGGTCAGGTACGCTGCGCACCAGATCAACCTCCACCCCAGGGTCTCTCGACCGGAGACCTCCCCAGCCCTGCTGTGGACGGGGAAGGTTGGCGATGCGTCGGCGTTCCGGGTCTGGGGATCTCGGGCGTTTGTTCGCGACCTGTCTGCGGACAAGCTGTCCCCTCGTGCTTCTCCCTGCGTCTTCCTGGGGTTCCCCCCCGACGCCCCTGGGTGGCAGTTTTACCACCCCACCTCTCGACGTGTTCTGTCCTCCCAGGACGTCACGTTCGACGAGTCGGTGCCCTACTACCGCCTCTTCCCCTACCGCACTCCGTCCCTCCCCCCACCCCCGCTCTTCTTGGTACCAGGTCCCCCCCCGGTAGTCCCCCTCCCCCCTCAGGGTCCTGCCCCTTCAGGTGTGTCCCAGGTAGACGCGGTCGAGCCTGTCGAGGTCACTGGTGACTCTGGTGCTGCTGCGGGAGCTGAGCCTGGGGGTGCGGAGTCTGGGGGTGCTGAGCCTGGAGGTGCCGAGTCTGGGGGTGCTGAGCCTGGGGGTGCTGAGCCTGGGGGTGCTGTGCCTGGGGGTGCTGAGCCTGGAGGTGCCGAGTCTGGGGGTACTGTGCCTGGGGGTGCTGGGCCTGGGGGTGCTGAGCCTGGGGGTGCCGTGCCTGGAGGTGCTGTGTCTAGGGGTGCTGAGCCCGGGGGTGCTGTGCCTGGGGGTGCTTCGTCTCGCCGGGAGCCACTCTCCCCACAGGAGCTGCGTGAGTGGTTTGCCGGGCGCTGGAGGCGTGCTGCTGGTGCTGGTGGTTCTTCGACTGCAGAGGGCACTGCTGCTGCGCGCCCCGCCGGTGCTCGTACTGTGGGTGCTGGAGCTGCTGAGTCTGAGAGTTCTCTTGGAGTTGGTCCTGTTGAGGGTGTTGGCGCTGAGCCTGCCGTTGGCGGCCCGACTGACAGTGCTCCTGGTGCTGCGGCTGGAGGTTCTGGAGCTTCTGGTGGTGCTGCTGGAGGTGCTGCTGGAGTGGGTGCTCCTGCCGGGGCTGCTGGTGCTGTTCCTGCTGTTTCTAGCGTCGCCGCGCGGCCCCGACCGTACTTCGTTCCGCTCCTGCAGCAGGTTCTTGGTCTTACACCTCCTCCTCCTCCCTTAGAGGGTCCGCAGCCTGTCCAGTCACAGCCACAGCTACAGCCTGCCTCCCCTTTGCCTGCTCCTTCTCCCTACGCTGGTCCGACTGGAGGTCTTACTGAGCGTCGTGAGCCTGCGTCTCGTCCTGTGTCGCCTGTTCGTACTGAGCGCGCTAGTGGTCGCGGGTCGCGTCAGCGTCCTCCTCCTGTCCCTGGCACGCACCGGATGTCACTGCGTCCGTCCACTGCTCCTCTGCGTGCCCCTTTGCCTTCTCCTCCTGCTTCCTCTCTTCCTGCTCTTGCCGACCCGGAGTCGGACGCTCTTCGTGCTGCCAGTCCTACTGTCACGCGTCTCCTGGCTACTGCTTTCACTGACCCCTCCTTCGAGTCGTCTGCTGCGTCTGCCCTTGTCACTGAGCTTGTCGACTTTGCTGCGCGCTGTCGTCTAGACTACGCTGCTCGTCTTGTCACTGAGTCTGAGTCCGCCTGTCCTCCGTCCGTCGGGGGTGAGTGTGCCCTTGGCACGGACGTCCTTGAGGACAGGCAGGAGGAGTTCCGGTGTCTGGCCGCCGCTTCACCTCGTCTCGCGTCTGTACTGCTAGCCCCTGAGGGAGACCCGGATGCACCAGACATCCCGACTCCGCGCTCTTACGCGGAGGCGATAGAGGGTCCCTACTCCTCTCAGTGGCAGGCAGCTATGGATGCAGAGATGGCTTCCTGGAAGTCCACAGGCACCTACGTTGACGCTGTTCCCCCTCCTGGGGCAAACATCGTCAGTGGCATGTGGATTTTCAGGGTGAAGCGGCCGCCGGGTTCTCCGCCTGTCTTCAAGGCGCGTTACGTGGCTCGTGGCTTCAGTCAGCGGCAGGGGGTTGACTACTTTCAGACCTTCTCCCCCACCCCGAAGATGACCACTCTTTGGGTTCTGCTACACGTTGCTGCTCACCGTGACTACGAGCTGCACTCTCTCGACTTCAGCACAGCTTTCTTGCAGGGCAGCCTGCACGAGGAGATCTGGTTGCGTCGCCCACCTGGCTTCACTGGGTCTTTCCCTCCTGGTACCAAGTGGAGTCTCCGGCGTCCAGTCTACGGTCTCCGCCAGGCGCCACGTGAGTGGCACGACACACTGAGGACTACGCTCGCGGCACTTGGGTTTGCTCCTTCCACTGCCGACCCGTCGCTGTTTCTGCGCACCGACACCTCTCTGCCGCCGTTCTACATCCTCGTGTACGTCGACGACTTGGTCTTTGCCACAGCTGACACTGCTGGACTCGCCTACGTGAAGTCCGAGCTGCAGAAGAGACACACGTGCACTGACCTGGGTGAACTGCGCAGCTACCTTGGCTTGCAGATCACCCGGGACAGAGCACGCCGCACCATTACCCTGACTCAGTCACACATGGTGCAGCAGGTCCTTCAGCGCTTCGGCTTCACGTACTCCTCGCCTCAGGCCACTCCTCTGCCTACTCGCCACTCGCTCTCAGCTCTGCCTTCGGATGAGTCCGTAGAGTCGAGTGGCCCGTTTGCAGAGCTTGTTGGCTGCCTCATGTACCTGATGACCTGCACACGACCTGACCTTGCATACCCTCTTAGCATTCTCGCACGCTTTGTTGCTCCTGGGAGACACCGACCAGAGCACATGGCTGCAGCGAAGAGGGTGTTGCGCTACTTGTGCAGTACGTCGGGCATGGGGCTAGTGCTTGGAGGGCGCAGTCCAGTGGTCCTCACTGGGCACGCAGACGCTTCTTGGGCTGACGACCAGGCTACGCAGCGGTCGTCACAGGGTTACACCTTCAGCCTTGGTTCCGGCTCTGTCTCGTGGCGGGCTACCCGCTCGTCTTCTGTTCTCGGCTCCAGTTGTGAGGCTGAGATCTACGCTGGGGCTATGGCTGCACAGGAGTTACGCTGGCTCACCTACCTGCTGACCGACCTTGGAGAGCAGCCTCGTTCTCCTCCAGTCCTGTACGTAGACAACAAGGCCATGCTGGCCTTGTGTCGAGAGCAGCGACTGGAGCACAGAACGAAGCACATTGCTCTTCGCTACTTTCTTGCTCGTGAGCTACAGCAGCGTGGACAGCTGCGACTTGCGTACGTGGCCTCTGAGGCCAACACTGCTGATGTCTTCACCAAGGCACTTGCGCCTTGTGATCATCAGCGTTGCTGCACGAAGTTGGGTCTTGTGCCTGTCTTGCCTCACTTGCTCTCCTCTTGACCTTGCTTGTACTTTCGCATATATATACTCTTGCTCTTGTATATCTCTATATATGATCTTGCATGTGAACTGGCCTTGTGGCCTTTGAACTTGTGCTCGGAATGCGTGGTGACTTTGTGATCCACCCTGAGCTTTGCTTTGCTTTGCTTGACTGGTCTTGTGACCCCTTGTTCTCCCCCACTTTGCCTATGGGGGTGTGTCAGAACTTATAGCTTACTTGTTTCTGTAGGCTATAGTGGGGTATCCCATAGGGGGTACAACCCAATTAGGGTTTCCTATTTGTACTCACTTCGTTCATAGTCATTCCACTTCTCGTTCGTACTTTCTCATTCATGTTGTGTTTTATACGTACGCTTTTTCTCACACACTTTACAACATATATTCTATGCAATGCATATCATGTAAACATCTACATTTTCTCATAATCATCTTTTCTTACTTGCCTCTCCCCTCTCTCTCCCTCTTTCTCTCTCTCTCTCTCGCTCTCTCTCTCTCTCTCTCTCTCTCTCTCTCTCTCTCTCTCTCTCTCTCTCTCTCTAATGGTCCGTATATTGATATGGCAGGTAGGTACACACATACAGGTGCAGAATCATGTAGTCTTCATCCTATTTCCTCTACAGTTCCACAAGAGGCTCCAAAACAGCAAAGCAATCCCCTAGGTGTAGCTCATGACCAATACCCCCTACCGGGGGGTTTTCAGCTGCTGCAGCCTCACCCAATTTCATAAGCAGGCCCACTGATTGCGCTCTCTGAAGGGCAACGGACCACCGCTGCCTGAACTGATGCAGAAATTTGGCGGCATGATAGGAGTTCGAGTCGGCGTTGAAGTGGCGCCGAGCCGCAGTGTCTGCCAGCAGTTTAAGGAAGACGGGGACCTCTGCACATGGGCAGCCGTAGGTCTCCACTGCCAGTGGAAAGAAGCCGACTGTCTCTGGCCTGTTTGCATAGTGCTGAATTTTCTTATCTGCCTGTTCCCTAGCCGCCCATCCCCTGCCTTTCTGTGCCTGTGGGTCCCGAGTACTGATGGGGTCTGTCACGGTCACGTCGCACACCCAGACCGCCCCACTGCTCCTATCGGACATGGTGAAGTCGGCTGTCTGTTCCTCGACAGGGCAGTGGGCAGCCGACTCACTGTGGACGATAAAACCCGCGTCCTGGGCCATACTAATGCAGGCATCTCGGAGCTCGTTATGGGTGTTGATGCGATGCCTGCCAGTGCCGCAGCGTAGGAGGTGATTTGGGAGGCGGGGGTCCAGGATTTCGGTGTGATCCGAGCAGTCACAGTTTTTGGGGGTGGAGAAGGGCAGCCCGAGCCTGAATCTGACGGCATTGGCGAAGTGTACCGGGCCTAAGCGCCTGGTTGCTTCTATAGGGATAGCTGTCAGCCAGTCCCCTGTGCCGTAGCCTGTTAGAGAGAACATCCGCTGCGTATGGCCTGCCAGCGGATTCAGCTCCATGTCTCTCGTTGCCTGTACTTGCACGGCGTAGCGGCTACCGTGGACCTGTAGGGCAAGGGCGTGCTGCAGTTTGACATCCGTCCGCTTAAGTCGTTCCCGTTCTAGCAGCTCTCGCGCATCGGAAGGCAGGGCGGACTCGCACTCTGTGAGCCAGGAGCGAAGCGGTGTGTTTTCATCCACAGGCCGTAGCATATGGCTGCGCGCGTGAGAGAGTGCGGTGTCCGTGTCCAGCGCGAGCGTAGAGAAGAGCAGAGCCGCCTGTGTGAAACTCGCGACGAAACCGTAAACTCCCTCAACGAGGGGGTCAGTAACACCTATTCCCCCAAGAGAGGGGGGCAAGGAGGCCTGCGCCCAGACGCGTGCCTGTTCCGCTCTGCCCGCCGGAGCGCGAATGCTGCACGAGGTAAGGAGTGCTAAGAGGAGGTCACGGCCCCACTCCGTCCAGGTGTCCCGTGAAACGAGGTTGAGGGGAGTTGTTCGGGTGAGATACGCCACGCGCCGAGAGATGCAGCGCGTGATCAGCAGCGAGGCCACCTGAGGATCAGCCCGCTCGATGAGATGTAACGGTTTCGCCAGGTCCCTCAGCTGCCCTGCCAAGAAAGTAGCTGCGCCGTTGGCCGCCCCCAGAAAACTCCCAAGCAAGCGGATGCCGTCCGTGCAGAACGGCACCCCTGGAGGCAACCCAGCAGAGTCGCACGCAGTAGCGCTCCATGCCGTGCACTTCTGCGGGTTGTGCTTCAGGCCTAGTGATTCCAACTTCGAGGTGAAGTGGTTGAACGCGGCTACAGTGGCACTGTGTGCACCCACGAATGTCACGTCGTCTGCATAGGCCAAGCAAAGCACCCCCGGGTATGCTGCCGTAGTGTTACGAAGTGCAGGGTGTATTCCCGCCGCAAACAGTAACGGGCCTAGTGGATCGCCCTGGCGAACGCCCCGTTCGCTGCGTAGGGGCTCGCTCGCAAAGGTTGAGTCCAAGTAGAGTCGCGACGGGTTACCGTAGGTCAGGCGAACCAGTGGGAGTAGGGGCGACAGAGTTGGCTCTTGTAATGCCGCTACGATGGATTGTCGCGAAATGCTGTTGAAAGCATTCGCGATGTCGGTCTGTAGTACCAGGCTGTTTGGGTGGCGGTCCACATACGTTCGGGCGGCATGAATTATCGCTTCCGCCCCACCAGGCACCGCCACTCCGTACTGTAGGGGTAGGAAGAACTCACGTGCAGCCTCCCCCATGACCAAGAGCGCAGCTTTGGCAGCCAGCCGCGTCAGGCATTCTCCAATTGCGATTGGTCGCCCCCCCCCCCTGGTTTGGCCAGGGCTATGAGTCGAGACGCTGTGAGCAGGTCCGCCACCGGAGCTGGGAGATTTCCCCCCAGAATTGTATTCAACAGGGCGTGCAGATGGGTGCTGACGGATGCATTGGTTATTGCAGCATCGCGCAGGTGCTCAAATGTTGTACCAGAAGGTCCGGCACCGACACCGTTCTCGCATTTCCCGAGGAGCTTCGCAAATTCTGCGTGGGAAATGTACAGGGGCTTAGCGTCAGCTGTTTGCCAGGTCAGCTGTTCGTCTCCCGCTGGTGGATGCTTTTGTCGGAGTTCGTCCAGAATTTCTGGACTCGGTGTACAGACGGGTGTTGACTCGAGCGCAAGCACGGCTCGGCGCAGACTGCCACGTTTCGCCAGCCCCTCGGCTCTGCTCAATACACCTGTCACATCGAGTTGGTGACGTGGGGGCGGAGGGGCATTGACCGCGTTTATCGCCTCCTGGTAGAGCTGTGACCACTCGCCACGTTGGAATGCCCGAAGACGGGCCTTGATTTGTGGCCAATTTGGGTGCTTTGGCGAAGCCTGGCGAAGGGTCAGACGCGGGAGGAAAAGAAGCAGTTTCCAACCCGCTTCAGAGTCAGGGTTTCGCGAGAGGTGGAGTAGCGGGGTCAGGAGTGCCAGCGAGAATAACTGGCACAGGTTAGGCGGCAATCATCTTGACAGCGGCGGTTGGCGACTGTCGCAGAGGGCGGACATGTCCCAATTCGCCATGTCGGCGAATTTGTCCCCCATCTCCGCTAGCTCCACTGGCGAAAAATAGCGGGGGCGCTGCGGGGCCAATCCTGACACAGGGTGGAGGGAAGCGGTCCGATGTCTGCGTGCGCGACTCGGTGTCGTTGATTGCTGCCGAGTTGGATTCTCATCCGTCCGATCGGCATCCAATGGCCCTGCACGCCCTTCTGTTCCCGCTGTGGGTAATTTGGATGTCTCAGATCTTCTCCTCCCCGTCCCTACTCTTGTTGCCTCCGCTCCGTCGCCTTCATCTTCATTTTCACTGTCTGGCTCCGCTTCTGCAGTATAAGAGGGGTCATTTCTGTCCCCTTCTGCATTAGCCGCTACCAGAGCAATTAAAGCCCGACGTCCCGCAGCCTGGAACCCATTCTCCGGCCCTCCGCCTGTTCCGCTAACCGCCTGCCTCCTCTCTTCCCGTGCTGCCCGACCTCGTGATGGTGATTGCTGGAGCTCCCGAGCCGTCGCCAGAGCACGTTGCCGCCTGGTCGGCAGTGGTCGCCAAGCCTCAGTCTGAGGCCGGAAAGGCGACCACGGCGAAGAAGCCCCCGGAGCCTCTGGCTCCGAAGCCCTCGATAACATCCGCTGAAAAGCCTCCTCGCCCCGAACCCGTGGCTCCCCTTGCCGCAGTTGCCGCTCAGTCTGTGGCCCCTGCTGCTGCTGAGCGATCCGCTCCGTCCGCGTCAACTGCTCCCCAGGCTCCACTTGAAGCCCCGACAAGGTCTGACGCCGCACTCCCGGCTCCCGCTCCCGTTGGGCCCCCAGCTTCTGGCCCCGAGCTGCAGACGTCTGCGCCTGCCTCGTACCCGCAGCCGGCGTTCGCCACCACTGGCGGCCTGGCGCAGTTGATTGTGCCCCCTACACGACACCCGTCTGCTCCCGTTGCGCCTCCCGTGGCTCAGCAGATGCAGCCAGCGTCGCAGTCTCGTCCTCCCTCGCCGGACCGTCGCCCATCTCGCCCCCATTCTCCAGCGCCCCAACAGGATCGGGCGTCCTCCCGGCGCCGGCGGAATTCTCCCCGGCGCAAACAACAGTCGGGTCAGTGGCAAGCTCACCGTGGCGGTCGCGGTGGCTGGTGGGGTTCTCGCGGTCGCAATGGAGGAGGATCGTATGATCCGCCCGTGAGGATGGCGGATCTGCAACGTGCGGTAACGACCGCGATGCGTGAAGAGAGGGCTGCTCAGACACAAGGCAGCTCGCACGTTGCCGTCGCCCATGCCGCTCAGTGTCAGGCGGCGCTCCCCGAGGTTCCGCCTCCTGCTGCACTTGTCCAATCTCGTGTTCCGGCCCCATCACCTCCCGCTGCTGCTGCGACTGCTCCCGTTCCAGGGTCGCGGTTGCATCTGCCGCCAGTCCCGCCCGTGGCAGGAGTAGAATTTGTGGCTGTGGGAGGCGGAGCGGTGACGGCAGATGGCCCGGCTCCTCTTGCCGCTGCGGAGCCATTCCAGTTCCTTGCGCAGGCACTGCAACCCCCTCAGGCCCGTGTTCCGGAGGCGACCCTCGGCCAGCTCTTCCGTCTCGCAGAGAGCTTTCACGCACTGCTTCTGATACAGGTTCTCGCACATTCGTCTCTCCCTGCGGCCCCCCCTGAGTTGTTCCTGGATCGTCAACGCGAGTCTTGCCTGGACGCCGCCGATCAGCTTGCAAGGCTGCTGGCGCCCGTGCTGGCTGCGCCCGCCGAGGGAGGCGTTGCGGCAGCGG